CCTATTTTTCCACTGACTAATCCTCATTCAACACTATAACTAGTTAAACATAATAGTTTCAGGATATCGTCATAAAGCATTGTCATAACTTGACAATCACGTAATATGACTGATAAAATTAGTGAAACTATTAACGAAATCGGTCAACAAATTGACTTATAATTACCATTAAATGGTGTTGTTTTCTTGGTATCTTAATCCATCACATATGATTACAGTATGTTTCTCTATCAGTTGCTCATTAAGTAAATATTTCAAAACCTTGTCAGTCTTATAGATGGTTTAGCGGCACAATCATGCATGCAAATAATCAGTATAAGCAGTCGAGCAAATCTCCTGCAAACTGAAAACATCAATGTCGAATTTACCCCAACACTGACTAAGGTTCAAGCCATTATCATAGACATGAGTTGGGAGTGTACTCACCTTGGTTACAGCTTATGTTCTCCCTGATAATCACATGAGCATCACTCACTATCAATCATCTTGTAAAAATTTATTTAGCTAAATATATCTTGCAGCACCACATCACTTCGTAATATGACCCATAGGCTTAACTGATTTTAATAACTTATAACCACTATATCTCAATTAAATCGTATTCTGCCTGCATACGTGCAACTAACTTGTATGCACCATCAGCCGGCAAGTATAAATATAAATAAATAGTCTGCCGCAGATCAGAACATTGAGTCCAGAGCATGTCTCTTACGAATACACTCATGTTTAACGATTTGTTCCTAGCTATCTGTCCAAAATTCATATAATCATCACTCACGTATTTAAATTTTGTTTTGATAACCATTTATGTGCATTAGTAGCGCCACTAAATTCTCTCACGGTCAAGTAAAAATGAGGTTGAGAAAATCTCCCCGTAACTAAATAAACCGTATCAAACTAACTGGAACACCAGTTGGAATTCTTTTCCATGGTAATACTTTTGTTCTTCCAGTTAGCCTACTAATACAGATGCAATTGGAAATCACATATGGACGGGTTACCGGCATAATTGTAAATTGATTTCATAATTTAAACCAAAACTAATACCAATATTAACATTTCTGCAATATTCATTACTTTAATATTTCTAAACACAAAATACTTCTCACTTATACGTTAAGTTATTAACCAACGGCTATTAATACGCATCGTTATAGTATTATTATTATTATTATTATAATCCCATTTTTTTATAGCTCAAATAATCCTTACCCAAATTTTCATTTTAAGCGTGTTAAGCATGAAGGCATATATTTTGAAATTATTACATGTATTTTCCGATCAGATGCTGCCGCCTTCCTTTTGATTTATCTTTCAGCTTATCATTACCCGGGGGATGCTTACTGGTCTTGGTAACCTTCGGCGCACGACAATCCCATCCAATTCGGTATCGAACCAACATCACGTTGATTCTGGTGGGAGAGTAGTGTAGTGGCATTGAACAATAACCGCACAATCCACAAAGCTGAACACGAGACTACTCAGAAAATAGATATTCAATACTTAACGGGGATAAATACTTAACGATGGAAAAGGCGCGAACAAGGAATTGAATGGACTGGATTTGATCTGATGGCATGGCTCGTCCATGCAGGCGTGGTCCATCTCAATGTTACTTTATATTTTCTATTCATATTAAATATATTGTTCCTTCTCTAGCCTAACCTTGTTCTACATCATGTATTGGTAATTGATACGATACAGTGAGTTGGTGTAGTCGATGGTGTGACTTCCACGTAAGATCTTATAGATTAGGCAGTTATATCATGACAAATCTACAAATTTAGGATTAGGTCTATTATTAGAGCAGTACTAATATCATAGTAGACCATAATTCTACACACTCTCCATATTCATCAGCGAATTAAAGGACATCGTAGTGAACGTTTGAAAAATATATACATAATTTTTAAAGACGCCACTACATTCACCATTGAATCAACGATGAGAGTCATGTTTCATTTCAAAACTCGATAACACATTTGTTTAACGGAAGTGATACAGTCCAATATAACTCACTACGGGTCTTCAGAGCAACAGGTATTCTCACGAATATTAAACTCCAATTGTTACTCATCAAGAAATTATCACATATATAATACAGCCAAATTCATCTTTTAGTAAACTAGTTTGAAAATGAAAGGGATTTAATAGGCGCTCCAATTTTAAAAAATAACGTACTCGTGAGAAATTTACTGTACATATGTTTGAATGCCAGGATATTAACCAAAGTTTAGGGAAACCTTAGGAGATGACTTGTAACTGATGCCTCAGGTATTGCTACTGCAGATTTTCAATGTCTATTATAACTTTTTCATTGACTGCTTCAAGCGAAGGCTTAAACCCACTCGCCTGCAATACAAGAACTCTGGATTCGGTGTCGACGGCTGACCAGGACATCATCGAAAGTCAACAAGACTCTTGCTCACGTTTATCGAGCTTCTTACTCAGCATTTCGACCAAACAAATGCTGAGCATTTATCATTACCTATTAATATCGAGGTTTTGATGTTATGCTCCCAGAAATTAACGATTGTTTGGCACCATGTTTTGATAAACGGTCAAGGACGCGAAATAAATTAAAAGACGAGATTAAGATGAACTTGTAGTCAGTGGACATTCTTGAGCACACCACGGACTGGAACTAAACACTATCTGGGAAGCAAGATAGCATATAACATATAGCATACAATGTAGATATAACTGGCATCCATAAGCATATATCAATCGACAACCGAGTCTCCATTGAATGTCCATGAATCCTACGTTCGAAATGAGGGTACTAACAAGTCCGCTTCACATAGGTGAGAAACCAGTTAAGGTGGCGATGCGATCAGGGCATTGGACAAACTCGAGTAAAGGTGGTAGTATTATTATTACGAATATCCACGTTAGTCAGTGAATTTTCTCCAAAAACGTTTCAGGACAGCTTTGTAAACACAATATCCGCATCCTCGTTACATCTGGTTGTGCTCAAACGGCCAACACTATTCACCTGTGAACTGTTACAAACAACAAGCTATCCTCATTCTACATATGACAGTATAGGTGGAAAATTAGATGACTTCCATTCGATTCTCCCCTGTTCTATTATGCGTAACTGACAAACTGTTGTGCAGTGTGATGTATCTTTCAGATGGCAGTTCTGAACATCAAGTCCCCTATAAGTAAGAAAAATGGACATGATATTCGAAGCAATCAGTCCCTTTCATAAATTCGGATAGCGTAATAAGAATAGGAAGTTTATCAGAACTATGCAAGATATTAGCGCAATGCATTCCGAACAATCTGATCACGTATATTCTTGTTAAGAAAATTTGCATATAAGGTCCAACTAGACTGGGAATGGAGGGTGAGTGGAGACAAAGATAATAAAGAAAATAATATGAGAAACTACTTGAGGCCTCATCACGCAGCATAATAAACTAATATTACCAGGACAGTTTTAAAATGAGAACAAATGTTTTTGAATGCATAGAGCATGTTTCAATTTTCATATGCTTAAGGCTTCAATAAACCTTAGAATACATCCTTTTACACTTTTTTACAACACCACAAAATCCGTGTTAAGATCAATTTTATTACCCGTTCCAAGCACGTGTCTGGCAATAGAGAATGATGGATGTTTATCATCTACTATTATTGGATCATTTGATTTTATTTGTTCATGCAACCACTTACGTACATGTTCGCACACCCTAATTCGGAGATCACGATTACTCCTCCACATGTATGTGTGGCCACACACATATTCAAATTGATAAACAGAGTGGCACGTGGCGCAGTCGTTTTCATAACTTTTACGTTCTTGCTGAGTCATGGACCTTGTTTTCTCCTTCATTACGACCTTTACTGCGTAATATGTCCTGTCAACAACTTATTTAAGCCTTTGTATCGGTAGAAAGCTATTTGAATCACCTCCAAACCGAAAACTGACGTAGACAGGTTCCTTTCTGCCAAGGTTATAGTACGTCTCAATATACCGTGACATTTCTATCTATTTATGAATTTTAAGGGGTAGCCAGTTTGCACTAATGCTTTGTTTAACAACCTAACGTCGTCATCAATAGCATCGTTTGTGCAAACACGACTAATCCCATTAGACAGACTGCTCACCGGACCTCGTTTGTATTGCACTGGGCAGTAACTATTGTGACTAAGGTTTTGGCCCGTCCACGTTGGTTTTTTAAAGACCGGTGAACGGATCTCTTTTGGGGTACTTTACTTTGTGTTAGACCTTTCAGCCTGTGGCATTGAAAAATTCGATGCAATACTCAACAAGATATATGAAACCTACTGGGACGCTAACTATAAAACATCACAGCCCTATTGTGTTTACGAAAAGGTAGTTCATTACAGAAAAAAAGCATAGAATTTACGTCGCGACCTCAAAAAGACCACTTGCTTCAATGATAATGATGTATATCCCAAAAATAATTACAAGTTTGATCATGTTATGGAAAATGAAACAATACAAGCATAAAGTGCTTTGCAGCCCGCCGTTTTGTTTACACTATCAACGTACACGATGTGTCGGAATCGGGATTTTCGATGTCCATAGGTGAGCCTCCAGACTAGGATGGGACAGCCACCAATATTACCTGGTTTAATGGCTCTGCGGTACAGCGGACCTCAAGATTATAAGTTTATACATGGTTTACACCAAGATTATGACTTCGCACTACTAGAGGGATCAATAAATCAAGGTGAAGTATAGGACCAAGTCCCTGGTACACTTAGCTATACCACTAGAACGAAAGGTAATTCTTATATCATAAACTTGCCATACTGAATACCCAGGCTACAAGATCTTATGTAGAAGTCGCATTATTCTCTATACTTATTTGTTCTGCCGTTAGTTAGTAATATGCTGTTTATGAACCTTTTTAGAACACATATAGTTTGGGGAGTAGAATAATATATTTGATTCAAAAAGGTTGAGGTCACGCAGAATGATCAAGTCCACATGGCCGAGCAACGATATTTCGATTAAGTGTCTTTGTGGTTATATATTCTGACTTTTCACAATTGTCCAAAGGCTAATCTCCATGTTTAGCTTCAAGGATTGTGCAGCTACTATGTGTTGATCGGTACCAGTCGGCAGTTAAACTGGCCAATATTATGCACACAAACAACAAATACGTTTCACAAGGCTTTTACATCATTAGCTAGGTATTCAGTTCGCACTGTTGAAAATGTTAAGTGATTTATGAATAATGAGCAAATAGACGCACGAGTTAGTAGTGTGAAATATATTCATCATTTTTAGGTTCAAATGTCGCCACCAAGTAACCGGAGTCAAAATTAATTAGTCAAGAAATATGAGAATTTATGTTGATATAAAAGTTCGCCAACTCTAAAAAAATAAATCCTATTAAAAACACTATGTACAATCAGCAAAATGCAAAACATGGTTAATATATATGTACTGTAAAAGTCATGTTATGAATTCGAGGGAGCGACTGAATCTTCAAGATCTGTTATTGCCCATGGATAATCAGTAGACGAACCATCAAAAGCCAAATCTACGAAAAATAAAAATATTGTAAAGGACTTGTAAACAGACTGAGTTAAAGTAAATAGCTTTCTGTAAAAACTTATTGATACGTTGATCTTTCCAAACTTATTACCACTAAAGCTAATCCCTATATGCATACTGAAAATTTAAATACGGTTAGAAAGTTAATCAGTTGGGTCCCTTGAAAAATAATATTCTACAGTGTGGGCAATTGCGAAAGAAACAACTGTCATCAAACCCCTAACAATATTCAAAACTACCTTGAACAAGATCGAATCCCTTCGCCACCTCATAGTAATTCTCCTGTCCCTATGACGTCATTTCCCTACGACCTTATCACGACGTCCCATCAGTGCTCCACCAAGTCAATTTGAAAAGTTTGTGAGATTTATCCTTTGTGTATCTGGGGACCTGACTAATGCTTATCATGACCTCACTAACGTAAGTGTAAAGTTAGTTTTCAAAGCAGAACAGGCTCTCAGGGACTACAGTCCGAGAGTCAGTCTCTTACACGCCGTGAAACTGAATGGGAAGGTAGAAATTCGGAATAGGGACGGATGCCGTTCTCTTTCAGAAGGTTGAAACCCCAAACAAAAAACGATGACAGGTGATTTTAATGCCCAACCAAGCAAGCAGTCTATACTTAACCGGAAGTCATTTTAGTATTAATGTATTGCAATTCAGTATAAATATAGTGAGTACTGAATCCTTCAACTATGTTCAGTTAAACACGCTTTTCTAGCAAGCATCAACCTGCAACTAAGAAATCGAATCGTCTGACATGGCAACTCCACAATCGACCCACAGACGGATGCATAAAATTATTGTAATGAACAAAGACTTGGTGGGGAAAACCGGTTTACTGTTTTGTGAAAAACCAAACTGCCTTCGTAAAATATGAAATCTCCCAATCCTGTTGCTATCCCTCTTCTCTTAATTTAAATCATATACGTCTGTCCACACCGCATCATGTTGCCCAAAGCCGTCGTTAGAGATGCTTAGTGGATGACTGTCATCCATTCTAGAACATATGTCTAGACTCTGACCATGTTCTAGTATGAGCACGCATTTGTATGCATCGTACTGAAAGCAGAAGAGTCAGAGCAATAAGACTAGAGTTTAACTTAACGACGTAAATGTCAAGAGTATATTTTATAAACAGCTAGGTGGAAAATTAGTCAATGTTTACTCCATATACCAAAACACCTGTAGAAACGGAAGATCTACTAGCAGCTTCAACCAAAAGGGTTGGAGAGATTAGTAGAATATAGTTGCGCCCAATGAATTAATTGTTGCTAGGATCTTCGACACGAGTGGTAATATCGGGATGATTTTCAACACCAAGGTACCGCATAAAAAGAGAAAGTAGTTATACTCGTAGTCTTGACGTAGGTCAAGTCATACCAGGTCCAAAATCGATGGAGAAATGGAATTATTGAAGAAAGAATGGGAAATATTTTGTACAAAATGTGCGGGGCGCTTAGAACTCTGACCAGAAATACAAACTAAATCCATAAAAATAAGAGGACAAGGAACACGGAAGACATGCAGGTGAATCTACCACTGGAGATAATAGATGATACTTCAATGGCGGAAACGTCAAAGGACACCATAAAGAACAAAAGAATGAAGAAGGGGATAATAAAGACACTAAAAAAGATGGAATGCAGCCACAAGCCAGTTATCAAGGTACCAGCAGACCCCAAAGGAAACTCTGACTTCGAGGCGTTCGGACGGCTCCCACAAAGCGCAACAAAGCCCCAGAGGCTCTAAAAATCCCAAAGGAATTCCATCCAACCAGAATCCGAAAGAAATTTCTGGAATACCGAGGTGGTATGCCTCGGGACGACCGAGGGTGGGGAGAATCAGCTCTCTCTCTTGAAACGCTCTGACATGACCACGAGCATACAACCATTGCCAGGGAGGTCCTACTTACTGTCTTTTCGCAGTGGGTGTGTTGTTTACGAAACTGGGAGGACGAAAAGTGAATGTCCAGCGTTTTAACTGGGTTGGTGGATACGGAAGGTCCACCTAAAAGAGTTAGAAAATCCTGATTCCAAACCAGTGGTGAACAAGGGCTCCAGGATCCTGAAGGAACAAATGGCGTACGGGACAGTTACTGGTCACAAAATACCAGGGGACTGCATCTCCTGACGTTGCTCCACTGCCTTGTGGATTAGACCTTTAGGTTAAGGGCTCCAGGTGTGGCCCCCAAAGGAAATCACCTGTTTCAATCTGGGCACCCGGGCAGTATTACAACCCAAACACAAACAAAATGACGATAATTACTGAAAATGTTATTCTCGCCTCGATTAAAAGTCCGACAATTCATATTCGATATTTTTTATATACAACGTCACTTATCCACTCTCTAGTATTCCCCCTTTAAGTATCCTTATTTTTCAACTTACACAGCAGCTCGCTTATGGTGAAAACTCTGTTCTATCTAAACGATTTCAAATCGCTGATTAGTCGAAAATTCAATACTACCACCGAATACGAATACTTAAACAGTCTTTCTGAAACCATGTGTACCATTCAAACTGGCTGTTTTCAACGTTCGCACACTTGTGCAGATTGGACAACAGAAGAGGTTGGCTATGTCTTTAGAGTCTCAATATAGACGTCTGTTGTCATTCGGAGACCCATATTCAAGACTCTAGTGAAGTACTACAAATTCGCTGTCCAACTGTCGCTTTGAAAAGTTTGTATTAGGTGAGTTAATCCGGGGACCCTGTGGCATCGTATGGTTTTACTGGCGTTAGGGTCGTATTAAGAGCTCGAGATGAAACAGCACTAATCGACTAGATCCCCATTAACAGTCATTTATGTGCTGTTAGATTAGAAAGCTTCATCAAATATGAAATCGGTGCGAAAAACGATGTCATTTCGTCAACTCTACCTATGCTCCAACAGATTGCAACCAGTATGCGATCAATTATGAGTTTTAACACCAGCTAACAGTTCATCTACAGAAAGTGCGTTCGACAGATATTGCAGTATTAGCCGGAGATTTGAATGCTCAGATCGGGCGTCTAGGCACAGAAGAGAGTCGTCTAGGTGGCCAATGGGGACTTGTTGGTCGCAGGACAGATAACGAGGACCGTCTACTGCAACTATGCACAGACCACAACCTGTTTCTAGCTAGCACCAACTTTCGGCACAGTCATCGCCGATGTGCCACCTGGCGTCCTCCATCTGCATCTCAAGCCTGGACTCAGATTGATCACATCGCGATCAGCTACCGCTGGAGTGGTTGTGTACAAGACTTCCGCTCCTTTTGGAGTACCTATCTGAACTCTGATCATGCCCTTGTTTAAGCTAATCTTACCTTACTTCTCAGTGGCCAACAAATTCATAGTCCTAAACGGATCGGAGTCCGTAAATAAGTTGCAGCTTCTCTTGCAACTCGATATCAAACCGAGCTAGGTTCAAGGGCAGCTAACGTTCCACCGAAAAAAATTTTGTGTGGTGCATATGTATTTGATGCCCCTTTGTACCAATATTTATGTGTTCAAATAAATAAAATGGTATAAATAACAATTTCATATAGTAGTGAATTGGCTGGATCAAAATTGTTATAGCTCACACCAAAAAACTACAAGTACACCTTTTTGTACATCTTCGACACTTAATAAAAACTTCTCCTGCTTTCTTGTGTCTTTTTTCGACTTTGAAATTGTGGGTTCTGCGTGTTTGTGTACTGAAGCCGAATACCATATTAGCCGTAATCAAGTAGAGGATGTAACAGTTTAAATAACTTTTCTATCATAATATAATGGTTCAGGACGAGATGAGAGCTGGAAAACTTAGTGGCAAATCTGGATGACCCACGAGAAACATCGACTCAACAAAAACTTATCACATAAGTTGTCTCCAAAGATTTTACCATGCAAGTTTAGCTTAATTAAATAAAGCGAGATAATGATTAATTTCAGCTGACCATCTTCAAGGTGTAAAACACTCAACAATCAGTCAGTCAGTCAGTACCAACGTAGAACTTCGTACGTACGTACATCAGTTCGAGTTGCCACACCACATTAGCACAGAGATGCAGTTGTCGATTCAAATCCCGTAGTGGTAGAGGTAATAAGAGTATAAGCAGTAATCGGGAAGATTAGGGTTTGGAGATGTTATTTAAAGAGTATAATCCAGTGAAAGAAATTTGGAAAGAGGAAAAAAGGGACATGAAGAATTCAGAAGATTAGAATTCGGGAGAACACAGAGAGTGGATGCACCTGCGCCATTGCAAACGATTTTGAGCCATGTCACTCAACAATAAGAATCAATTATTGAAGTGAAATCGACATTTAGTTAGTTCAGAGTTTAGTCACGGAGATTAGTTAGTAACCAACCAGAAGACTGATGAATAAAATACTACACCGTGACTTCCTTTTAATTTCAAATATCATACTTGTTAGTATATAATTTAGTTTGCAACCAAAACAATCTTATTAAGGCTAGTAATTAATTTTCTTACATTTATCTAACAATATGATAAAAAGGAATGGATAAAAGAAAAAACCTTATGCATTGTTTTGACTTACTATCTGAATATTTAGTTTTTGGTTGTACATAAAACTGTTCACGATTAAATACTCTAATCTCTCCAGATTCCAGTTGAACCTATTGTGAAGTAGAAACAAATTACTGGACAAATTGAAACAATGGGAAAAGCTATGAGAATAATATGAATTAATCAAAAATAAATAAATGAGATAACTTTTTTCACAAGTTGAACAACAACAACAACAAATATATATTTAATGTACTTACTTGACTACTGATTGTCATCTTAATACCGAAAAGAATAAATACTCGAAATAGACGACATAAAAAAAACTAATCTGATTTCCATAAATTAGACACAGGAGATGAATTCATTAAACTTTCTGTTGTAAAATATATTCCAAAAAAAACACTAAGATTGTTATCAAACAATTGCAGTTACACATCATAAACCGAAATTCCGTCATTTGATAAGTTGTGTGTTGTTATAATAAATTGATCCAATCCAGACAGATAGATGAGAGGGATGAATTGATACAAAGTAAATAAGTGATGAATGATTCAGAGACCGAATTACTGAACACGAGCCCTCAAATTGAACTGATATCAGAAAACAAGACAGATGACCAGCAGAACAGATGTTTTCTTATTAAGAAAATAACACGCTCCTATACACAATAATCAACACAAAAGTATGATTATAACTCATTTAATAAATTAGCGGTTGGCGGTTACAAGCATTATAGGTTATCCAATCACCAACGGAATTAATGCCTGAATATTAAGCTTACTTTATTGCAGTCACATTACATCATGGATCGATACAACAGACATTAATTTTATTCGTATCAACACATTCACTGTAGATTTAATTGATTCTACATCGAAATCTGATTTTTAAACATCTCTCTACTGAAATTATTTCTTCAAATATATGAAAAGCCGCAAACGATGTACAACGTTAAAGAAAACCGAATCGGACGAAACTCCGTGTGATTTTCTTTATCTGTTCTATAAAAGTGGAAATATTTGTTTAAAATGAAAATATTATCGTGAACGAAAAATCAGATACGCTAAACTAATTTATTGTTACATGCAAAATTACACAGTGCCTTTACAAAATATGAAAATCATACATCAAATAAATTATTTTTACATCTTCCTTCAGTTGTGCTTTACGTACTTCTTTATTCTTTCAATTCCGTTGTTATTCCGATTTCTCATCAGTTTCCTTCCTTTTCTCCTTATTTCACTAGATGCGAAACGTTTTTGGTGCTGAGATGACATCGGATTTAGATAGCCCAAAAGGTCAATGCGACATTCCGACGAATGGCGTGGCACAGACTGCGACAACCTAGAAAGCGGCACGTCGAGCAGATTGACCGCAAGTGACCTTCTTTTGAAAGCGGGATGAGTGTGGTGTACGCTACGTATTTTGACATATTTTGGTAGTATGCAGCAACAATCGGAAGTGGGATGCTTGCCAGCAAAACATTTAATTAAAGAGAAGAAAAAGCGAAACAGAGAGCAACCGGAATAACAAAAGAATTGAAAGAATAATGGAGTACGTAAAGGACAACTGAAGGAAGATGTATAAATACAACTATTGTTATTTGCTGGAAGGTTGCCTAACATCATCAAAACATTTATGATTCTTTCGTTCATATGAGTTTGATAAGAGAAGCAAAAGAGTACTGGATGGTTTTCAAAGTAATATTCACAACCTTTTGTATCCCAAGTCCACTGATGATATCCAGACATGTGAAACTGTTAAATATTGATAACAACGAATACAGATTGGGACTTCCAGATGACCTACAGTGAGTTCAATTTATGAACAATTAAGAATCCTCCAGCATGAACACAACGAATAAACTCAAATAGACCAGACGTCTGGGCAGGCAATCACATTACAACTTTTACAATCTACCCACCAATATGAGATAGAGGAAGTGGTACTTCTAGGAGAGATTTACATTTCGAACAAACGTCGAAAACTGAACAACTGTTTATACAGTAACATGTAATGACTCTGGAGCACTTAACAACGTTAGTAAACTAAAAAACAATAACAATCAGTCAGATAACAGGAAAGGTCGTTGTGAAAATATGAATTAGAAAAAATGTCATCGGAGTTATCCTTCAACGAAATAACATGTAATAACGAAAAACTAGACAACCTTTGATCTTCTTGGCAGAAAATATGGAAACCTGATCTACACATCGTTACATCAACATATGCTTGACTCAAACATTTGATTATTTGACAAAATGTGTGTAAAGGAAATAAATGTGAACGTTTTACAACTTCAATATATGGCCAATATTTAAACAATAATTACACTTACTTCCCACTGTTCAGAAGTAGTACCTTCATACGTTCCCGCATATTCCATCCCATCATCCCATAAAACTTTAATAAGTGATCCTTTTTCTGGAGGTCCATCTTTGAACCAATTAACATTCTAAAAGTGAAGAGAAGACTAGATTCATTACTGCCTTTAAAAACACTAATTTTATTCAATAATAAGAGCTGGTACGTATGAATTATTAAGAATACTCATTAACATTCACAATAATTTGTGAACTACTCTAATAATCGCAACGTATAAAAGTATATAAAATTAAAGGTTAAAAAGTGTTCCTACTGTCAAATACTCTGGTGGTGTATCTGATGAGAAGGTTCCATCGGGAAACGAAATACGGCAGTATAGAGGAGTTACTCGTCGGATAGCAATAGCGGATGAAAATATAGGATCATTGGTTTCTTGTACCATTACTTCATCTCCTGGGGAAACGGAACCGTGATCGTGAAAATTTGGCTTTTTGTATTCAAAAGAGAAGCAAAAGATTAAATACGAATGAACACTTTTAGGTTAGTACAAAAAGTCATGATAGATTATTTGGAAAACAAGAATCTGTGATCATCAGTATAAAAAATTTAGTAGGAACTAAGAATGATTTAAAAACCAATACAAATCGTGTTGTATACATATATAAAGATTTAATCCGAATCCAAAAGATGGCTTGAATTACTGGAACATACAGCATATATACACAATATATTAAGGGATTACAACACAGAACCATGGATTTATTCAAGATCAAGTTCGATCACTCAAGCTCATACGCTTTAATCAATGCAAAATTTACAGACTTCTCTACCTCAGTCAGTCAGTAAGAACGTAGAATTTCGTACGTACGTAAATCAGTTCGAGCCGCCATACCACATTAGCACAGAGATTCAGTTGTCGATTCAAATCCCACAGTGGTAGAGGTAGTAAGAGTATAGGCAGTAATCGAAAGATTAGGGTTTAAAGATGTTATTCAAGGAGTATAATCCAATGAAATAAATTTGGAAAGAGGAAAAGAAAAGGGACATGATAATTTCAGAAGATTAGAATTTGGGGGAACATAAAAAGGGGATGCACCTGCGCCATTGCAAACGATTTTGAGTCATGTCATTCAGGGTCTCTAACCATCGGTTGCTATCGTCTCTCAGATCCCAACCAGGTAGTCTACACCTACCAACATGGCTCAGTCCACTTGTCAGTGACTTCATAGATTTGTGCCATGTTTTGGTCTGACCTCCCTTAGCTTTCTTCCAACTTACTCCTACACCACAAAATATCGCTCGTCGGGGCGGTCGGTGGTTGGACATACGTAACACGTGTCCCAGCCATCTCAACTGATGAATTTCACTACATCATCAATTGATTTGCCATCCTTACCTAGTACCCGTTTCCTAACAACTGCCTTACTTACTCGATAGTCCCAGGACATACGAGCAATATTTTGAAGACACCTATGATCGAATACTAGTAACCTACGGATATCCTCTACTCTTACCGGCCATGTTTCACTGCCATAAAGTAGAACGGAAGGAACTGCTGCGCAGTAAACACGTCCTTTCGTTGATAGACGGATATCTCACCTAAGCCACAAATGACGCAAGTTGGCAAAAGCTAGTCCAACCCTCTGTATCCGTGCTGAGATTTCATCACACACCAGACCACAAGGGCTGATGAGACTCCCAAGATAAGTGAAGCAATCGACACGCTCAATTACTTCACTCCCTATCATTTGTTCGGGTGTCAATGCAACCCAATCCTGAAGCAACATTTTGCATTTCGAGAATGGGGAGAATCGCATCCCGAACATGCTTGCATTGTTGCTTAGAGTGGTCAGAAGACTCGGCATTTTGTCAGCGTCTTCACCAAATAGAACTATGTCATTTGCATATTCTAAGTCAACAAGTGAACCTCCTGGTAGAAGTTCAACCCTTGGAAATCTAGACGAGGAAAGCGTTATCTCTAAAAGTACGTCAATGACAAAGTTGAACAAGAATGGAGAGAGTGGACAGCCCTGACGAACACCACTTGAGGTAATCAATTCTGATGACAGTTCACCATAAGCTCTCACTCTACCAGTTGTGTTCGAGTAGAGAGCCTTTACAAGGTTAATGTACTTCTTTGGTACTCCTTTCAGTGACAAACACTGCCATAGAACCTCACGATCAACAGAGTCGAATGCCGCCTTAAGGTCGAGAAATACTACCATTGTGGGGCGTCTGAATGTGTGTCTGTGTTCTAGAACCCGACGTAGTGTGAATATCTGGTCTATACAACCACGTCCAGGTCGAAAACCAGCCTGATTTTCTCTAGTCTGCTCTTCACGAACTTTAGTTAGGCGTCGAAGTATTATTGAAGCTAATATTTTAGACACTATATCAGTCAAACTGATTCCTCTGTGATTGTCACAAGAGGACGTTTGTCCTTTCTTATAGACTGGCACAATTAGTGATTGAGACCAGTCAGATAGGATTACGTCCAGTTCCCAAATCCTACCTAAGACCTCAGTTAATCTCACTGCTAATACTGGACCACCATCCTTAAAAATCTCAGGAGTAAACCTGTCAGGGCCTGCTGCTCTCCCTCGTTTCAAATTTCCTATGGCTTTTTCAACTTCGTAAAGGGACGGAGGACCTACATTAACTTGCCATTCAGGTTGACTAGAGATCGTGGGAAACCGAAGTGTGGCTGAAGGCCAGTTGAACTGATCCCTAAAGTGTTCTGCCCATCGATCCAATCTTCTGGATTGAGAATGTATAATATGTCCATCTTTCTCTGAGAGTGTTTCGCTAATAGTCGGTTTCCTTAACAAGTCTGAACAATTGTCTGCTATTACCTATTGCCGCTGCCTTTTCCATCTCTCTTGCTTTCGCTACCCACCACTGTTCACGATCATTGCGTAGACTTCTTGTCAGCTTGCGCTTAAGCTGACTCCGCTCCTAATTATGTTCAGAGCCAGGTGGAATGAGTTTCCGAGCATCTATCAGTGCGATAGATGCTGCTGAGACCCAGTGTTTCTCCCTAACCTTCTGGTTTACTTTACTAGCAGATATCACTGCTGTTTCCACAGCTTTTCGGATATCATTCCATGCTGCATCGGGGTGGGCATCACGTACATGGCTGCCTAACTGTTTTCCTAGTTGTTCCTGAAATATACTCTTAGCTTGACTATCATTAAACAGGACCCTAAGGTTTCCTTGCAGCGTCTTTCCTACGTCCAGTAAGACGCAGACAGATACGCGCTCGCACTAGAGCATGACCTGACTCTAAGCATCTGCTCCAGAATGAGCGGCAGTCTTCTATCGAGCCCCTCCATCGGTGGCTGATAGCGATGTGATCTATTTGGATCCAACGTTGGGACGAATTAGGGGGTCGCCATGTTAAAAGATGTTTTTCCTTATGCTTAAAGTTAGTATTTGCAAGGAACAGGCGGATATCTGAGCATAGCTGCAACAGACGGTCGCCATTATCTGTTCTTTGAGCCACAATGCTATAAGATCCACCCAGGTGTCTTTCCCTATCGCTTAGTTTACCTACTTGAGCATTAAAGTCACCGGCCATTATTATTACACCCGAGCGCCTAGCTTTTCGGAAAAGGTCGGAGAGCTTTCTGTAAAACTCATTTTTTACATCATCTGCGCTGCAGTCAATGGGAGAATAGGCAGAGACGACGAAGAGGCAACGACGAGTGTCCCTATCTTTTCGGATTCTTACTGTTCCGTTTAGTCGGACAGCGCACAAACGACTGTCTACTGGCTTCTCGACCTCTCACTTTGTGTTGAAATTTGGTCATTGGTCATTACACCTAATAGGGCCAGTTCCTTCTAAAATAACCAATGATCAAATGTCTGTGACATGTCACCTATCATAAATAAACAAACCTCACAGCTAAATAATAGAAGAATCATACTGCTGTACTCCAGAGGAGTTCCTCCACACGAGATGAAGTTATCTGACTCTTCATCCCACTTGTACTAATGTCAATGCAAGTATCCTTGCATCAGAGTTCAAAAAGGTACCAGGCATTATGTGAAAATCAAGAAATATAGTGAAGTATAGTGAATTTTGTCAAAAGTTATTTACTATATTTTGTTTTGACTGAATACCAAAAATAATGAGTATTGTATTGATAAATATAAACGCACAACGGACAATCTTACGTGATCGTAGTTAGTAGGATGTTTACTGCATGCGATATAAAAGAAACGAGGATATACATCAGTTCCAATAACAATACCAGCCATTTGAGCACAAGTAACATGAAACTGTGTAGAACAACCATTATGCCAGCAAGAAGCCAATGGAAGAAATCCTCTCCCAGGTAATTGACACACAAAACATATTGAAGGAAGAGATGATGCAATTTTGTCTCCAGTTTCAACTGGTATGTTAGTATTGTCAGAATGATGAACACTAGAAATCCCATTGTTATTATTCTGAATGAATGGTCTTATTTTTTTAAAATTAAAATCAATTGAAACTGTGGAAGTAGTGTTGAGTAGCTTTCGTGAAAAACGATTACTGTGAAATAAAAGAGGAGAAAAAAGGCAAGTCAAATATGTATTAGAACAGTCTTAAGGAACCAGACCTTTTCAAAGGAGAAATGTATTGATATATTTCTATCATTTACAATTTAATACTCATAGTTTTGTTATTTTTACTCATATATTATTATCAACAGTATTTGGTGGTTGAATAACTGAAGAGAAAAAACAAAACAAGTACACCTGCATATGCCCTACATAGGACAGAATCTGTTAACATTGATAACCAAGTGTCTGATGAAGCACTAAGATAAGCAGGGAAGGCGATCTTCGGGAAGAATATATTTGGTTGCATGTAAAGATAGCGTAACGTGAGAACAGAAGAAGCTACCCACGGTAGACCGTAACGTGATTTGGCGATGATGTTTGACCGAGAGCTAGTTGGTGTTTAGCAAAACGAAGATGGTCAGTGACGATCCTGAGTGTTCACAAGACCGATCCATTCTAAAATAGATGGAACATGGTTAGCAGTAAAGTTCGAGAGGCACATTTCGTTCTACTTGAATGTATCTGCATCCCAAAGTTGATGTCCGCCCTGCAATTCAAACCCAGTACCTTTAGCTTCAAACTCCAACGAGTTACCTACCCAGCTATTGAGTCTACATAGCCACAAACGTGTTCAACGGGTCCCAAATAGAATGAAACATGCGTTCTGGATTCCACTGCTAATCATATTCTATACACTTATATCATAATGGCTATATCGAGGCTCACAGAACTAACATATGTCACTTAGGATTGATCGAATTTCAGTAAAAATATCAACAACCAGATAACACAAACCTTTACAAAAAAAAATATGTTAAGGAGTTAGTTACCATAAAACAGCAAACCTAAGTAATTATCTCATGAAAGAAAACTTACTTCGATTTGTTTAATCGACATATTTTACTTCTCTGATCAGGTGATTCATAATATTCTCGTAAAATTTTGTTATCAATATTAGGTGGTCTCTTACGCACTAATTTCAAATTCTTCTGTAAATAACTTGAAGATTTGAAGGGAACAGTCTCAGAGAAGCAACTTGGCGAACTGATATTTTGCATTTCATTAATCACACGTTTATTACTTTCGCTGGAATATAATATGGCTGAAGACATAGCTGATTTGATCGTGTCTTCAGAAATAAATGCCAATCGTTTAGGCACATCTTCAAAATAGCAACCTGGAGTAATTAGTGCACAAACTAAATGTGCCCAGTAAGGTCGTCCAGTAAATGCATTATTTATGTTGGCTAGTGCTTTAATAGCTCCTCCGCGCATATAACAGAATACACACGTCTGTAAAATAATCAGATGCAAATAAACAATGTTACATATATATATATATATATATATATATATATATATATATATATATATATGACTGTATGAGCTAAAATGAATCTGTGTATATAATAAGGTAAAAGTAACTCACAAATGTACACCCTAATTGAACATTTTGGCAAAACCATCTGATAAAAATGGACCTCATAAGACTATTTACAAGAATACAACCGATGAATAAATATATTTTTTTGTTTCATAATTAAGATCACGGGGCAATCTTACCTAAACAACCATTAAGAACTATGAAGAATTGGACAGTCGTCTCGACTACGTGTAGGACTCCTTAGCGATGAGCATTAACGACCTCACCGAGCATCAAACTCAGGACCTTCGAATTCGTGTGCGAACGTTTAACCTCCTATAACTTCAAATTCACTTAAGTAGCTCTTGATAAGCTTTCGGGAAATCGTGAAATATTATGAGAATTAACATAAATAATATCAAAAATCGTTTAAAATGTCGAAGTTATGAGTATTAAACAAACCAAACATACGGATGGGAAATTTTTTTCCAGAAATCTCGGAAAATTGAATAACAGTTAATGAAAAAACTATTAAATAAACTTCATAATCAAGATGAAAAACGAATATACTATAATTTGTGTGTGATTTTACAATTTATCATTAATCCACATAACCAATAATTCACGTGGATAGTATTTATTCTTTGAACTATATAACTGATACCTATGCTATAATGAAACTTTAAAACAATAATAACAATATATAAATGAATAAGCATTTGCTTATTATATTTTCATTATTTACAATGGAAAAATCGAAAATAACGGTGCAATAGACTAAGATAATTAAATCTGCATGACAATTACTTGCTTAATATGAATAACCCAGTTTGCTAATAAATTGTACATCTTAATAAGTCATAAGAACGATTGCTTTTTATCAACATCTATTATGAAACTATTCTAACTCTCGATTGTAAAGATATAGAGTGAACTGTCTTTAGTTTCATAAAAGCAATTTTTTCTAGAGATAATTCCCGGAATTTACTTACGCTGCGTGTGAGGAAGATACCCATCAATGACATTAGGAGATGGACGCTAAATAATGCGAATTTGATTTACGTTAGACATATACACCATTGGATCCAAACTCAGTTGTGTTAAGGCAAATCACTCTCTGTAAGACATTAAGGTTTTGGGTTCGATCACTGAAGATGTCCACTAATGAGGAATCTCATACTATAACAAAACAGTTGTCTAGTGTTTACATGTTTTCAGTGGTTGTTTAACACAGAAAAATTTGTAATATAAACTGCACGATGCTATATTGTATGGCAGTGAATGCTAATAACGAAATATCGGTCAAGTTGCATTATAAAACCACTACCCTAACTGATTTGATGGTGCGTTATATTTTGCTTTGACGTCAAGCAATTGGAGAAGATTAACAGAAAGCCGTAGAACTAAACTCAAAGTTCTTTAGCACTACTAATTATTTAGTCGTATATTTACAATTTTGACATAACTGGTGACGATTATATGTGGTATGGATCCGATTCCATTAATTTTTTAGTCCGAAATATTCCCATGGAGTCATTCGTGTGTGTGTTGAAGATAAAATACCCCTCTTCATAACATATACACTCGGCAGGTTGATCATACTAAACATCTTGTTGGACATTATTTTATCAAGCTATTGAACGGATATAAAAGAGGGATAGTTCATAATACAGCTTACGCATAATTGAGAATATAATCGAATGGCCTAGCAACACTTCATTTAACCTTATTCTAGATCACACACTTTATTTACTGAAGCATGCTTCAACTAAAAACATGGAAACCATCTGTACTACTAATATCTCGTAACGGCCAATCATCCTCAAAAGAGAAAAATATAAGAATACGTAGTTGCTACTGGTTCTTTTATCGCTGGCATATCAAAGTTTAATACTGCATTAAACGAGGTAAATTATAGAATGTCTGGGTTAAAAGTTGATATTAACACTTTAGGATGAATTTTACTTTAAGTCTGTAGAATCGCATCCTGGGATAAAGATAAATATCGATTAGTCACTTGAAAAATAAGACTTGAAGTATCTGGAGGTATTATTCTTGCAAATATGGTTTAATGAAATAGTACAGCACGGTTGAATGGTACACTATGTTATGACAAAAATAGTACATATTATTACTAACAGAATCACATTTTTGTCACAGTTTATAATCATTTCATTCATCATGACAACGATACGATTACAATACGTAATTTATAAGACATTAAATGACATTATTAACTTACGGGTTTTGAACTCGCCATACAAGCATCGCAATACCAGGATCTTTTAAAGTTCAGATTATGTTTTTGTTCTAATGAAGACTCATATTTAAATCCAAGTTCATCTTGAACACCATAACATCTAGCATGTACAGTTAAGCAACAACGAAAACACCTGAGTATACGACTTTTAACTGTCGGAGGAAACTGTACAGAAGAATTATAGCTGCGATATGCAACTTCGGGAATGTGTGGTTCTGAGTATAAAGGTAGTTTGTCTTCTCGATGTCCACTAGATAAAAGCTTAGAAACATGCTAAAATGATAGATGACAAAAGTGATAAGTAGACTGTATTTTCCTAAACTAAGAGTAAAGTAATGGGTCAAGTCTGAAATACAATTTGATAGTTTTCATACATCTAGAACAACTTAATAGTATTGTTGACCATAACACGATAGCAATGGTACAAAAACATTTCTACCTAGATATAATTAGAGAACGATATTGAATAGCTGAGACACACACGTTGGTGGATCAGATTATTACGTGAGTGTTCAAAAAGTATAGTCGGATCAGTAGAATATGAGAGATTATTATCTTGAATTAACCTAACAGATTTACTCTGTTAAAACAAGTAAACACACTAAGAGCTATCAAGAAAAAATATTGATACACATCAGTAGTCCGACAAGGCCTCAAGTATTTTACGTTAGAAACGGCCATTTAAAATTAAATACAAAATTACCATCCTGTTATTGATGTTAGTAACTGAATTTTGATCAGTTTCTTTTTTTGCATGTGCATCCTGAGCGGATCACCTTGATACTGCCATCACGTCACAACTTTTCAAGTTGAGTAGTGGCTAGCAGTAGGGTTCAGAAAGTGGATTTTATCGTGTTTGGAACTCATCAGCTAGATGTACATGCATTTCAGTGTTGATGTTCATACTGAGGCTCGAACCTAGTATCTTTCACTTTAGACGCCCAATACCTTATCCACTGAATTAATAAGTTCAGATAGTTACTTGTTTGTGCAACTGGAATGAATTTTACTATTAATTTGTAAGGGTTCGCATCTTCTCAGATAGGAAGAAACATGCGTCCTGGTTTACAATCCAAGCCACTATTCAACCTTACTTAAAAACTTGTATTTCTTATGTTCAAGTTTATATAACACTCGATATTAATTAACATCCCACGTTTTTTATTCCATTTATTTATTTCCTCTATGATGATGTGAAATGTGGCAACTGCATCTTAACCTCTTCTACATAAAAGTCTTATTTTACCAACACTTAGGCAACTACCAAAAGTACAGATTTCATATAGATCCCAAATTTACAAAGGTTTACCGATAAAAGAGTGCTAAGATTTGTTCACCTGAGGAGTCCACAAAAATGAGCAAACAGCACAATATGGTTTATGACTTCCAATGAAAAGGTTGAAATTTCGTTCAATCTGTTCATTAGCCGGATTTCCACACCACAGAGGGTACAAGCGAGGGTTAGTAGCGATATGAAAAGGAATTTTGGCCGTTTCGAACTCTAAAATTAGAGGTAAATATCTCAAGAAAGTAAATAGCAAACGAATATATGACAAAGAAATTGACAATAAATGAGTAAATATGAAGAACAAGAAAGTTACAAGAAGCGTAAATAAAAAGCATTAGTGAGTACTCTAATGGAACTCAGTACACTCTACTAATCCAAGTCAACGACTCCGTTTCAAGCGACATAATAACCTGGTACTTATGTTCATCGGCCTAAATTGCAGCTCCATAAAAGCACATGAAGATGGAATTATCAAGACGGATACAAGACCAGTAGATGAAGTATGTGGTGGTAAAAGAGAATCGGATAAATTTCGAACACATAGTTTCCTTTATCATCTTGAAGAGAGCATGAACAAAGATTTGATCATAATAGCATGAGTTCGTTTTATTTCGTTTGGTTGTTGTCAGCTGCTTACAATCTGTGATATGTAAAGATCATAATTACAAAATGAGTCTGAATCGCTACATAAAAGATTCTAGTTGGAAGTTGCTTTAAAGACACATAAGTATAGTGTATCAAGGGTGTAAATAAACTTAAGACTGAATAAAACATTACACCTCATATAAAAGAACCTTCTACGACAATTATAGTAATCAAAGATCCAAAGGGCTGAAAACAAGTGGTTACGTAAAGAGTAAACACCGTTTTTCATGCTATTTGTAAAATCTCTGCGATCATGCAAACCCTCGCATTCTCTTAAGAACCTCTGAAGTATAACCAAATCACACATTAGATGGACGAAATGACTTATAACACAACTGAAAACTGAGGCCAATGCTTTCGATAAAGTGGTCAATGATTTATATATCGCATGTTAGATAAAATCCATCAGCCTTATCCACGACCTTCAAATCAAGGTTTGCAAGAACTTCCACAAATCTCTCTCGAAAACTCAGATGAAGGAACAACTAAATTTATGGCTCTCGGAAAACCCTCCGAAGTTTATTTATAATTAATTGAATACAAAGCTTAATAATATAGAAACATAAGCCTTATTACTGGGACTCAAATCTCACAAGTACTGACAGGATCGATACAGAGCCTTAATTTGAAAATTTATTTGACTAGCTAAAAGATCTAAATCCAATAAATGAGGGAAAGAAGGGCTGGTTCAATTCAGAGTCAGTTGATATTGCCAACCAATATTTCACTTCGAGATCAAAGTCGGATATTCTATCCAAAGAGCATCTGACAACTTTAGGAAATATTAAACCAAACGACAAGGTAATGATCATACGAAGAGATTAAGGTTAGGGTGTCGTTTTAATAAACACAACTCAGTATACCACTAAAATGACGTCAATCCTAGACGACCAATTGAGGTTCAAGGCAAATAAAGACAACAATGATTTAACCAACTCAACAGAAAAACGAATAACAGGCATGCTTAGAGAACTTCTAAGAAGAAAATGATTTCTAATTCTGCCTACCATGATCTACGACATCGTGGCTCATGCCTGACTCACATATATGGTCCACCAAAGGTGCACAAAACATGATATTCTGTGAATCATTAATTCGCCGTATCACAAAGTTGCACGCTGGTTAGTAGATAAGCTAGAACCCGTCCGCTAAAGATATACGTTAATAAATTCATTTCAATTTGCTGACAGACTAAATCATATGAATATACCTGGTAAGTCCATGGTTTCTTTTAATGTAAAATCCTTGTTCACCAAAATAGCACTTCCTGGAATTATTGATAATAATTTGCAGAATTCTGATCTACCAGAACCAGAACCAGAATCTAAAAAAATACTACTTATGTGAACAAATATGTCAAATTTCAGTTCAATAGCGCTATATACCGTCAAAGTGGTGTAGCAATGGGAAGTCTATTATATCCAATTATGGCAAACATTTTTATGGGTTATCTTGAAACACAGAGCTTAAACAAACGATTAGCGAAACGATGGAATACTCCGGATATGTTGATGACACATTGTCTGCAACAGTAAACACCCTGCAGTCCACCTGTTAGAACTCTTTAACAATGCTCATCTCAACACAGTTTACTACGGAACACGAGAAAAATGATATGTTCTACTTTCTTGACATTGCCATACAACGGAAGAGAGAAGACACAGTTCAACGTTCGGTTCATGAACGTTTCAAAAGGCCTTTGAACAAGAGAGAAGTACTTTAAACAATGCAGTTACCAAACATCTCTTGCATACAGGACATTAGGTAGATACCGTACAATCCCTCAAAGTGGTTAACAATCGGTCAAGTTCCAGTCTTCCAAAGTTAGCGGAAGATGCTGTAATCAGGCGTTAGAAACCTAATTCATGTGCTTAAGGGGAGATGGTTGTTAATCTTCCCTTGCCTTGGTGACAAATACTCCCTGATTACATCATAAAGATTCTTTTTAAGTCTCCTTTAATTAATTATATAATTGGCCCCCAAATGCCCTGGTACGGCCGAGAGTGCGGAGAGTCCGCTCTCCTTTTCGAAATACTCTCACACGGCCACGCGTATACAGCCTCTGCCAGGGAAGTCCTACTCATTGCCTTCTCGTGGCGAGGGTGTTGTTTACGAAAATGAGAAGACAGAAAGTGAATGTCCGGAGCGTTAACCGGATCCCAAACCAATGGTGCACATGGGCTCCAGTATCCTGAGGGAACAAATGGCGTATGAACCAATCGTTGGTCACCGGCTACCATGGGACGCATCTCCTTACGATGCTCCACTGTCCTGTAGGTTAGACCTTTAGGTCAAAGGCTCGGGTGTGGCCACCTAAGATAACCACCTGCTTCGGTCTGGGCACCCGGGCAGTATCAAAGCCCACACGCAAATATGATGAACTGCCTATAATTATGGAAACTACTTTACTTGCTTCAACTAACAATCAAATTATTATTATTATTATTATTATTATTATTATTATTATTATTATTATTATTATTATTATTATTATTTACTACAACATTATTCACCCTCTTTTATACTTATACAGCGGCTCGTCTTTGGTGGAAATTCGACTGTATCTAAATGTTCTCGAGTCACTGTCCGGTTGAAAATTGTATGTTACCACTGAATATGAGTAATGAAGCAGTTTTTCTGAAACCACGTGCGCCATTCAAACTGGCTGCTTTCAACGTTCGCACACTTGTGCAGATTGGACAACAGAAGAGGTTGGCTATGTCTTTAGAGTCTCAATATAGACGTCTGTTGTCATTCGGAGACCCATATTCAAGACTCTAGTGAAGTACTACAAATTCGCTCTCCAACTGTCGCTTTGAAAAGTTTGTATTAGGTGAGTTAATCCGGGGACCCTGTGGCATCGTATGGTTTTACTGGCGTTAGGGTCGTATTAAGAGCTCGAGATGAAACAGCACTAATCGACTAGATCCCCATTAACAGTCATTTATGTGCTGTTAGATTAGAAAGCTTCATCAAATATGAAATCGGTGCGAAAAACGATGTCATTTCGTCAACTCTACCTATGCTCCAACAGATTGCAACCAGTATGCGATCAATTATGAGTTTTAACACCAGCTAACAGTTCATCTACAGAAAGTGCGTTCGACAGATATTGCAGTATTAGCCGGAGATTTGAATGCTCAGATCGGGCGTCTAGGCACAGAAGAGAGTCGTCTAGGTGGCCAATGGGGACTTGTTGGTCGCAGGACAGATAACGAGGACCGTCTACTGCAACTATGCACAGACCACAACCTGTTTCTAGCTAGCACTAACTTTCGGCACAGTCATCGCCGATGTGCCACCTGGCGTCCTCCATCTGCATCTCAAGCCTGGACTCAGATTGATCACATCGCGATCAGCTACCGCTGGAGTGGTTGTGTACAAGACTTCCGCTACTTTTGGAGTACCTATCTGGACTCTGATCATGCCTAGGTCTGCGCCAATCTTACCTTACTTTTCAGTGGACAACGAAAGGACCGACATCAACGGATTGATATTAGCAAGCTGGTTGCAACTTCTGTTGCTAGAAAGTATCGAACCGAGCTAGCTTCTAGGCTGGCTGCCATTCCACCAAAAAGTAAAGATGAACATTGGCTGCAATTGCATGACGCCATGAAAACGGCGGGTACAGTCAGTTGTGGATTCGCGAAACGTCCCGCTTATAAGCAATGGGTTTCTTCTGGTTCCTTACAACTCATCGAAGCCCGTCGGTCTACTCCATGTGACCGTGAGTTTAACCACAAACGAAGGCTGTTACGTAATGAAACCAGGCAAAGCTTGCGTAAGGACCGAGAATCCTGGTGGTCGGAGCATGATAATGAGCTGGAAGCAGCAGCTGCATCTGGTAACTACCGGAAGCCCTCCCAACTCACCCGAACCACTGGCAGCAAGAAGTCTGGTGTGAGTGAAACAATCTGCGAGGATGACGGAACGCCAATCACTAACATCCATCGACGTCTTGGACGATGGGCAGAATTTTTCGAAGGGCAGTTCAACTGACCTGCTGCTTCGGCAACATCGGTCAGACTGTCCTGCCTTCCATGGCCGGTGACGACTGATCCACCAAACGAGGAGGAAGTCCGCAAGGAACTCCAACTCTTAAAGCGTTACAAATCACCTGGCCCAGATGACTTACTTCCGGCTCTTTTTAAAGATGGTAGTGGCTTTCTGATTAAGGAATTGACGACGTTGTTTGCAAAGGTCTGGGGGCTAGACAGTGTACCAACGTCATGGAATGATTCAATAATTGTCCCTATCTTTAAAAAGGGCTCACATCGTTCCTGTAACAACTATCGGGGGATAAGTCTACTTCCGATTGCGTCCAAGCTATTGGCTTCCGTCATACTTCATAGGTTGTTCGAAACCCGAGAAAGATTAACTCGCGAGGAGCAGGCTGGTTTTCGTTCCGGTCGAGGATGTATTGATCATAACTTCACCCTCCGTCATACTTATCACAGGCCAACAGGGCTGTTCTCTGGAATCGTCTATTGAAGAAGGGTGTGCCTGAGAAGTTTATTAACATCCTAAAAGCCCTATATACAAACACCTCAGGCAGAGTGAGGGCATACAACCACCTCTCTCCATTGTTCCATTCAAGCAGTGGGGTTAGACAGGGTTGCCCGATCTCACCATTCCTCTTCAACTTTACCATCGATGACATTCTGGAAACAGCTCTGATGGATGTAAGTAATGGTGGTGTGGATCTGTTGCCTGGAGAAAGACTTCTCGACCTTGAGTATGCTGATGATATTGTCTTACTGGGCGATAATGCCCAAGGCATGCAATCCACACTTAATCAGTTGGCAATCAGTGTCCGTAGGTACGGTATGTGCTTTGCACCTTCGAAGTGCAAAGTACTTCTACAGGACTGGCAGGGTTCCAATCCTGTACTCACTCTGGATGGTGGGCAGTTAAACGTATTCGAGAAGTTCGTGTATCTAGGTAGTTGCATAAGTGCTGGTGGGGTGAGAGTGATGAGATCAATGCACGTATAGTGAAAGCCAGAGCGGCTTATACCAATCTGGGCCACCTTTGGCGCCTTCGTGATGTTAATCTGGCTGTAAAAGGTCGGATCTACAACGCGTCGGTGAGAGCAGTTTTGCTCTATGCTTGTGAAACCTGGCCTCTCCGAGTTGAGGACGTTAGACGACTCTCTGTGTTCGATCATCGCTGTCTCCGGAGGATTGCTGACATTCAGTGGCGACACCATGTTAGTAATGCAGAGGTTCGGCGTCGTGTGTTCGGGCACAGAGATGATAAGGCAATCGGTGTCACCATCTTGAAACACCGACTTCGGTGGCTTGGACATATTCTACGAATGTCGTCCCAGAGAATTCCACGTCGTGCATTATTTGCCGACTCTGGGACCGGTTGTAAAAAGCGGAGAGGTGGTCAGTGTATGACATGGTGTCGTGGCATGAAAGAAAGCTACAAAGGGCTGACTTCTGTTGGTCCTTCACGACTCCCTGGTTGGAGTCCGAGAGATGGTGCGACACAGTGGCTAGAGACGTTATCAGATATGGCTTAGAATAGAAGCTAGTGGCGATCCTGCTGTAACCTTCTTTTACTTTCTTCATAAAAAATGGTTGTGCCTCCCTTAACTGGAATATTTCTTCTGATTGTACCTTTCCGTTCCTTCATTATTACTATAATACCTTACACCAATCTCTTCGTTATTGTTCTTTTTTCACGCTCCTTACCTTTTTTTCTCTTTGAGTTCTCATTGTTTTGTGTGGCACATATATATTGGCGCTCTCTTGTACCAATATTTGTGTTCAAATAAGATGAAATAACAAAATAAATTATATAATCGTGTCTTTATTTCTTATATATATATATATATGATGTTTTAACTACCCTCGTTATATTCGTTAAGATTTCTCGGCTTTCCAATAATACTATATCCCTGTTACGTTACTGTATGCCACATAACTCGTGGTTTTTATAATGTATGCTATTTACCGTCGAAATTAACAAGCAAATACAGTTAGAATATTGTACAATCTATTTGAAAGTTAGTAAATGCATACAACAAAATAAAGTAGCCAATATATAAAATTCAACCAGAAAAACCTACGTTTTGAGGAATACCGCAGATCAATAGAGTTCAGATCGCCAACTTTGGGAGGCGGTGAATCAGAAGAGTAAGGTTTAAAAAGAGAAGGGTCTTTGGCCATAACCTCATTGTTCTCGATACCCAATATATCCTTGGCACTGTCTAAAGGCTAGATAATCTTTAGTAAACTAACCTGGATATGTGAGTGTGCTCTCAACATGATGACTTGTTTCCTTTGGCAGATATTCATCGAGAGGATGTGGTGGTAGGTTTTTTCCACTTTTCCAATCATTAAATAACTCGGGCTGAAATCTTCGCACAAAAGGATCCATACATATTTTAACTGTGTCATCCCAACAGGTACATATTTTCGCATGTTTTCCGTACTCTATCCACCTAGTAAGTGCAAAATTTGTTGATTCAGCAATGTTTAAACCCATATTGAAGCCGGAATGATAAGCATAAGGAAAAGTTATCATAAATTCACCTTCGTGTTGTAAAATCTAGGAATATATGAGATTGGAAGTGTATCTTACTTTCTTAGTTGGGATTCCAGATTGGGAAAGAACTGTAGGACTAATTAAAACGCATTTATGCCTTAAGAAACAATGACATTTCAAGAATTCCGACCTAAAATATTCTTAAAGACAATTAGCTTTTAAAAAATGCGTACCGGAAACAAAGGATTCAAATTTACGCGCAAAAGCTGGAGGTATGACGTACCAGCACTTTGGAAGACCGTAATGCAGGTAGTTTATAGAGTATAAGTCTACATCTTCAACATGCCACGGAAACGTAGATCGCCACATTCCATAATACAAATATGGAGTATTCACACCTGGTATTTGTACACCCTCTTCTTCGAAAACCCGACTTAGTACTGAGTCGAGTTTTGCAATGTTCCAAATATGCTGGTCAATATCCATCAAAGTTCCACTGACATTAGCCCCATACAGTGGACGACTTGTGCCTATCGACGACCAGTATTTTCTCTCAAGGTGATCGTAATCCCTGTACTTAGGGGTGCAATATATACTTGATAAAGCAATATTCTTAAAGTCACTGAATTTGAGACTTTTTCTGGGTGAAATATCCTACACTGATTGTTGAGAAAATTAATAAAACAGACCTGAAAATATATACCACGTCCACCATATGTGCTTTGACATATAGGTTTTTCTACCAAACATTCATCAATATTATCATAACCTTTGCGACGCCCAACCCAGTTTGAAGGTGGTATTACTTTGCAAAGCCCTACATGATGAGCACCGAGGGACTCTATCATGGAAATACATTTGCTGAAGTCTTCAAACTCTGCAACCGTAGGTTTGTACACAGGTATTTCTGGAATTGTTGCTTGATTAAGAGTCTTAATTTTAACACAAGATGGCATTCATACGTACCTCTAACTTATCAATAAACGGAGTTTGCGCCAGGCCGTAATCTCGGTACATGACCTACGGACTGACCTTATGTCAAATCCAGCTCCAAAAGATTCAAACGCGCGTGGGCGTATTAGAAGAAACTGTGTTATAGGCAGGAGGAAGGCTTTCCAAAAGTGCGTTTCAGTCTTATCAAAGCAATTCGTTCTCTAAAGGCGCGTACTTGTTGTGATCATCTTTGCTTTTGTGTACTTGTTGCACCCAAAAGCATTATTGGTCTACTTTAACTTGAAGTATTTCGGTTAAGGTTTGAAATTTTGCTAAAAATTTGTTCTGTGGTGCCTTCTTTCTGAATGACCCTGGCACTTGTGTTCATATTGTGATTATATTGTGTTTCAAACTTTATTAATTTGATAACAATGTTTGGCAGTACTTATAAATCCATACATCCAAATTGTTTATTCCTCGTGGAGGAAGGAATGCGATATGATGAGTGTAAAAAATGGTTTCATAAGATGTGTACACGTTTAAGTCCCACTGCATTTAAAAGATGCTCAAAGCTTAATTCGCATTAGCTTTGTATGTTTTGCTGTACGAATATGTATCTACAGGATCTATTCAAACCACTACCTAATATCAAGAAATATATATAACCGTGTATGTTAAAGGACTGTATTCACTATTTTATGAACTATCATTTAAATCGTATTTGGGTACTATAAATCATTTAATTTCCGAAATTACCTGTCCAATTCGGTGAGTCTGTCATAGCTTTTTTTGACAGTATTTTTTTTCAAAAAAGCTGTTTTATATATTTGTTCATGAAGCAGCATAATAATCTTAGACGGTAATAATCTTCTAAACTACTTATCTCTGCACCTCCCAATTTTTAATAATACGGACTTTCAGTTTATATATGTATCACATACCGTACTCACTTTGATTGGTTGATACTAATTATCGACATTTCTAAATTACTTTACTATATAAGGCTATCTTTCGTGTCATATATATGTTAAAATTTATACAACTGCTCCTTTATATTCTATTTTGCCTCCATACAGATACTGATATAAATACTTCATCTCCACTACTATCTTCCTGCCATTGTCATCTTTTGTTTTTGACACTACTAATCCTCACGATACATTCACTCTTGTTTAAAACATAGATTTTGATTTTTAGACTAAATTGAGCCTTCGGAATTGATTTTTTTCATCCCTTTTTATTTCCAACATTCTGTTCAATCCACTTGCTGTACGTCACTTTCTTATCATGCCACAAAAGAAAATGAAGACCCTTGCTTCTAGGCGTCCAGCCAAACGTAGGAAAACGACACAATTTAACACCACTACTGACACGATTTCCGACAGTTTCAACGAGACGAGCCACTCCGTTCATCCAGAATCAGATGTAGGGCCAGTGAAATGTCACTGAGCCCTAGCCAAATCATCCGGCAGTTGGATCACTGAATGTCGAACAGATCATCGCTCCCTGCCAAGGTCATGTACAAGCAACGCGCATTAGTTAATCATACGCCATGGACTGGCCCATGCGGCAATGGTCTTACTTTCGCCTGTATCTATCTTAACTAATATATTTCTGTAATAACGTCCTTTGTGTTGTACAGTCTTCAAAGCATCTATAGTACCTTGTTACGTCAATGGGGGTAGTCCACGTAAGGTGCTGACCACGAGGTGTGACTTCGACGTTAGTTGGTTCGTCACACTATTCACGTCTAACTCGAGTCGGCCTCCAATCATTTTGACATAGATCATCTACGTTGGTGATCTACACTGGTGAGCAAGACTTCGAATAACGCAACCTATCACTATAATCTTTATAGTTGTATTCTATACTTATTCTTTTTCATTTTTATCATCGCCTATGTTAATCTGTTACTGTGAACTTTCGTTGCTTCATGTCAATGTTGATTAGCATTTAAACCTAAATAATCCGTTCAATCGACAGAACTAACCAATCAACTACGATTATAATCGGCTATCGTGGTTCTTTAACAAGCATTAGCAGCATGTAAAGGCTCCTGTGTAATATGTCTGTTAAAATATCAACCACTCGTGAGTATAGCCACAAGGCAACACGAACGCATATCTCTTTGTACCTTATCCACTGGTATAAGTAAGACAAGATTAACTATCGACTATAAATTCATCTTTCTGCTTAACCACTATCCACTAGAATGTTCTGCTTTTTTTTACCACTGCCTGCCTAATTTCCAATTGCTGAGTTCCATGGCCAAACAGAGGATACGAATGCTAGAAATTCACGGTGAGTTTGAACTATAAATTTCCTGCGATCTTAGATCTCGTTTAGACTGTTCGTCAGTCTACAACGCTGTGTTAATCGAAAAATCTAATCAACAGTACCTCGTACATAATCCAGATTCAAACTACTGCCTACTTCATTACTTAAAGGCAAGAGTAACCCAGGCGAGTTTCATAATTTCATTAGCTTATTTCGTACTATATTTATGATGCGTGATAACATTTCGTAGTTGCTTTCACGTAAACTAGTCATATATTCTGTCACTGCCGTCAAGTTTTAGTCGAAATCATGTACATTTATAACTCGTTAGTCGACATACTGTGGTAAAACATATTGCATGTACACGAGCACGCTTAGTCCATATCCCAAGTACACATGTTGTCGTACTTAATATGTCACTTAATGCTAGGTAATAAACTCTTTGTATCAGCCTTTTACGAAATGGCCACGTTACCTGGACCCTCTAAACCTTAGTTACATTGGTGGTTACCATTTTAATTAATGTTTATTATACCCCTTGTATTTGCTAATAATTCACACGGTAAATCATGGCTCGATTTCCTTATTACACAACAGTCATTTTAATTCTATTTTCGGTTTATTTACATGCGATACGGGTTTGGAAAATATCTAAACGTCCTCGAAAATTCTCCACGAACCCAACCATAGTTTTCGTATATGTTTTTATTCACACATCCAACTGTTACGCTAATCATACCTAAGCGAACGTTCAGTGCAACTGTCAGTATACGTAAGAACGATGTTATTTAGACTTGACATTGTAACACATCTGAACTATTGTAGTTGTTCTACTTCGATGTCGTACTTCATTTTATGAAGTATTGTTTCCTCGTGGCTGTTGTTTAACAGATGATTCCGGTACATCAATCGGCTGTTCAACTACTCGACGATTTACAACCTGTCCAGTTCAATTGGTGGTCTGACGACAATATCATTCGCGCGAATCATCAGTTTATGCAGTCGAGCGAATCTCCTGCAAACTGAAAACGATATTGTCGCCTCTATCCCAACACTGACAGCGTTTTTCACGGGTATCATTGACATGAGTCCAGAGTGACACTCTTGGTTTCTTATGTTCATTTCGATATTTTTCTGTTCACTAACCGAACAAACACGCAGCATTCACCGTTTATCATCTTTTAGAGACTTCATCGTGCCACCTTTTGCTGTGGATTTGTAGCCTTCAACCCTTACTGACTGTAACAGCAGTCATCGACTTTTCAAACTGTGACTACAAGTTGGTCAATAGCTTCGCACAACGAAATCACGACCACTCTTCACTGTTATACTTCTGTACTTACGGTTAGTCTGTTAGATATAGATATAACTAGAATTTGACACTAATTAATAGCTGTCAACGACACTGTCCGACTTACAACTTTAAACTAATGACAGTACAAATATGGATATCGATTGATAATACACTTATCCTACTATCGCTATAGCATCATTACTCTTGCGGCAGACTTAACGTTTGTCATCGGAGGAACTGAATTACTTGTCAACGCTATATATTTCAGCGCGACTTGATAGAACAATAAAACGTTTTGTTCTTTTCATTATTTCTATGGTTAATCGCTTTACGTTTAACCAACGTCCTACTAACATATTATGACTCGCTGTTTCCCGACCAGTTTCTGCCGCCTCCTTTCCATTTCTTTTACAGATAAGCAATACCTGGAGGATTTATAATATTCGTTTGGCACTCTCTGGCGCGCGACTGCTCCCAACATGTTTGGTACCGATTCAAACGGCCGTTGAATCTGGTGGGGGAGTATTGTAGGGCCAGTGAAATGTCACTGAGCCCTAGCCAAATCATCCGGCAGTTGGATCACTGAATGTCGAACAGATCATCGCTCCCTGCCAAGGTCATGTACAAGCAACGCGCATTAGTTAATCATACGCCATGGACTGGCCCATGCGGCAATGGTCTTACTTTCGCCTGTATCTATCTTAACTAATATATTTCTGTAATAACGTCCTTTGTGTTGTACAGTCTTCAAAGCATCTATAGTACCTTGTTACGTCAATGGGGGTAGTCCACGTAAGGTGCTGACCACGAGGTGTGACTTCGACGTTAGTTGGTTCGTCACACTATTCACGTCTAACTCGAGTCGGCCTCCAATCATTTTGACATAGATCATCTACGTTGGTGATCTACACTGGTGAGCAAGACTTCGAATAACGCAACCTATCACTATAATCTTTATTGTTGTATTCTATACTTATTCTTTTTCATTTTTATCATCGCCTATGTTAATCTGTTACTGTGAACTTTCGTTGCTTCATGTCAATGTTGATTAGCATTTAAACCTAAATAATTCGTTCAATCGACAGAACTAACCAATCAACTACGATTATAATCGGCTATCGTGGTTCTTTAACAAGCATTAGCAGCATGTAAATGCTCCTGTGTAATATGTCTGTTAAAATATCAACCACTCGTGAGTATAGCCACAAGGCAACACGAACGCATATCTCTTTGTACCTTATCCACTGGTATAAGTAAGACAAGATTAACTATCGACTATAAATTCATCTTTCTGCTTAACCACTATCCACTAGAATGTTCTGCTTTTTTTACCACTGCCTGCCTAATTTCCAATTGCTGAGTTCCATGGCCAAACAGAGGATACGAATGCTAGAAATTCACGGTGAGTTTGAACTATAAATTTCCTGCGATCTTAGATCTCGTTTAGACTGTTCGTCAGGTAATGCTGTCAGTCTACAACGCTGTGTTAATCGAAAAATTTAATCAACAGTACCTCGTACATAATCCAGATTCAAACTACTGCCTACTTCATTACTTAAAGGCAAGAGTAACCCAGGCGAGTTTCATAA